AACACATCCATTATTATAAATATAAGAGACAAATTAAACATCCTCTCCTAAAACCCTTTATTAAATATAATATCGAGCAACGTGGATGGGCTGAAAATTGGAGAAAACTTGCCTACAAGTAGCGCACTTTTTAAGAATCCCAATTAGTGCTCCCCTCCCCCCCCCTCTCCCCCACAAGGCACGCAACCACACATTTTTTGTAATCCCCTGACCCCTGACCTATTGCCCACCGCAGATTTATTTCACCAAATATTTCAGACAAGCAAAAGAAAATATTACGCTCTAAACGCAATTACGATATGTTGTTTTTAAAGTTAAAAATTGTCATTTAGCGCAGCCAGCGAGGATTTTATTGCGTGAAACAGGTCCATCATATTTCCTTCATCGTCCCTTTCAAAAACAGGAAAAAAAACTGATTGGGGGGGGGTGTTGTTGTTGTTTTTTAAGGGTGGGGGTTGCTAATAATATGAAAGAATGTGTTGTCGTCGGCAATGAGTCTATTGAGTCTATGTGCCAAGTTGACGGGAATGGGGTCGATTACCCGTCCAAAGATTTTGCCAGGCCGCCAAAAACAAAAGCAAAGTTAACATCAAGGATTTAAACAAATCATTATTTGTACCCGCTTATATTTAGCTTGCGATTTTGTCTGGGGTCAAATCAGTCTCGCCCCAATGCATGGTGTCCAATGGAACTGACATTACGCACAATTATAACCCTACACCGATATTACGACGACTCTTCATGATCAGCAGGTCCCCAGTGACCTCCACTTACCCTTGAGTGACCTCTGTGGGTCGAATCATGCTTCTCAAATTTGACCCAATTCCTGATCTCCGTTTGGGGTGACAAAAAGAACGTTGAGTTCATGGGCGCCACATGCATTTTTTTAATTTTTTTAGTAAATGACATAACAACTCTGGAGTTGTTTGTTGGTGTTGTTTGTTGGTGTTGTTTGTTGGTGTTGTTTGTTGGTGTTGTTTGTTGGTGTTGTTTGTTGGTGTTGTTTGTTGGTGTTGTTTGTTGGTGTTGTTTGTTGGTGTTGTTTGTTGGTGTTGTTTGTTGGTGTTGTTTGTTGGTGTTGTTTGTTGGTGTTGTTTGTTGGTGTTGTTTGTTGGTGTTGTTTGTTGGTGTTGTTTGTTGGTGTTGTTTGTTGGTGTTGTTTGTTGGTGTTGTTTGTTGGTGTTGTTCGTTGGTGTTGTTTGTTGGTGTTGTTCGTTGGTGTTGTTTGTTGGTGTTGTTTGTTGGTGTTGTTTTTTTGTTGTTGTTGTTTGTTTGTTTTGGGGGGGGAGTTGGGAGGGGGGATATTTATTTTTAAACTTGTTCCTACATTATGGAAAAGCTTTTTTTTTTTAATTATCTCTTAATATTGCTTTATTTTAATGTCACGTCAGATTTTACTTACACGTCACAAAGTTCACGAGAGCACTGATCTGAGAAATCACTTCTACACCGGAAATGACTTCTCATTTTTAGGCTTACCGTACGCTCCGGTTTAACCGGGAAGGTCACGGTGGAGTGTAGTAACGGTGGAGTGTAGTAACGGTGGAGTGTAGTCACGGTGTAGTGTAGTCACGGTGTAGTGTAGTAACGGTGTAGTGTAGTAACGGTGTAGTGTAGTCACGGTGTAGTGTAGTCACGGTGAAGTGTAGTCACGGTGTAGTGTAGTCACGGTGAAGTGTAGTCACGGTGTAGTGTAGTCACGGTGAAGTGTAGTCACGGTGTAGTGTAGTCACGGTGTAGTGTAGTCACGGTGTAGTGTAGTCACGGTGTAGTGTATTCACGGTGAAGTGTAGTCACGGTGTAGTGTAGTCACGGTGTAGTGTAGTCACGGTGTAGTGTAGTCACGGTGTAGTGTAGTCACGGTGTAGTGAGGTAACGGTGTAGTGTGGTAACGGTGTACTGTAGTCACGGTGTAGTGTAGTCACGGTGTAGTGTAGTCACGGTGTAGTGTAGTCACGGTGTAGTGTAGTCACGGTGTAGTGTAGTCACGGTGTAGTGTAGTCACGGTGTAGTGTAGTCACGGTGTAGTGTAGTCACGGTGTAGTGTAGTCACGGGGTAGTGTAGTCACGGTGTAGTGTAGTCACGGTGTAGTGTAGTCACGGTGTAGTGTAGTCACGGTGTGGTGTAGTCACGGTGTGGTGTAGTCACGGTGTGGTGTAGTCACGGTGTGGTGTAGTCACGGTGTAGTGTAGTCACGGTGTAGTGTAGTCACGGTGTAGTGTAGTCACGGTGTAGTGTAGTCACGGTGTAGTGTAGTAACGGTGGTCCAGGTGCCGGTTTGATATTCTTTCCTGGTAAATATATTTTTAAAAATTCTCCCCCCACCCACCCATACCTTCATGGGGTTACACGGCTTAAGACCGGGGGGCGTACTCCTTATTTTTCGCCCCCACACCCAGATATGTTCATAATCATGGAAATAGACAATAACAAAGGTGCCCCCCCCCCCCTGGGCAGAATCCTCAGTCGCCCCTCTCCCCGGTTATGTATGCCACTGGCGATAGCTTCTTCTTCTAGGACATTTTAAAAATTCCCCCCCCCCCCCCCCCATCCCTTCAGGGGGTTCACCGCCTAAAGCCCGGGGGCGTACTCCCTATTTTTCGCCCCCACACCCAGATAATGTCAAAATCATGGAAATAGACAAAAACAAAGGTGCCCCCCCCCCCCTGGGCAGAATCCTCAGTCGCCCCTCTCCCCGGTTATGTATGCCACTGGCGATAGCTTCTTCTTCTAGGACTTAAGGGCCAACGATCAATGTATTAAATATACAGGGGATTCGCGATGTAACATTGTTCCAGGTTTAAACCTTTACATTACGATAATCGTTCTTATTAATATTTACATGTCTTTACTGTCGTCACTTCGACACTTATTGAAAGCCTCGCTTTGCATATAATGGCCGTGCAGGAACTCTCAAAGAGCGCAGTTTGCTTTCATCTTAAGTGTTAACATTGGTTCGAGCAGCCAAAGCATGTGGAGCAAACCTAATTCTCAGTGCGTGGTCGTCAGAGTGAAAGTGAGCTGGCCATGAAAAGAAGAAATGTTAACGCTAAAAGGGGGAGTTGGCAAAATCTAGGTTTATTTTTAACCGATTGACATGGTGACCTTTGAACTTTCATCATATAACATGTGGCAAATTTCACTGGTTTGATTTAAGGTAATGTTTCAGAGATCGCTTCGAGTTCTTTCTTCACATTTAACACGAGTGATAATTATTTGGCATTTCCAGCTTGTACGCAGGTCTGTGGGCCGGCCCCAGTTTATGTCGCATTCCAGCTTGTACGCAGGTCAATGGGCCGGTCCCAGTTTATGTCGCATTCCAGCTTGTACGCAGGTCAATGGGCCGGTCCCAGTTTATGGCGCATTGGCGTTGTAGTGGCTGCGTGTGTTTTAATTATTCTTAATTTAAATGAATAGAATTATTTAATTTATGGTTTAAAATGTATTTACATCTGGTCTCAATAGATGAGTGCCTTCAAAATCTTCCTGATGTAGACACGCTTTGCGGATGATTGATCATGTCAAGACAGTTTTACCAATCAACCGACAGTTTTTCCAATCAACCGACAGTTTTACTAATCAACCAATAGTTTCACCAATCAACCGACAGTTTCACCTGTCAACTCACAGTTTCACCAGTCAACTCACAGTTTCACCTTGAATAATTATTTATGTAAAAGACTCCTTTAATAAATGATTTTTTGGGTAAATATTTCCGTTCACAAAATTGATTCGTCACCAAAAATACTTCTTCTTACTCCTTAAAACAATAGACTTCTAACTTAATTACACAATATGACTTCTAACTTAATTACACAATAGGACTTCTAACTTAATTACACAATAGGACTTCTAATTTAACTATACAATATTACTTTAAACATCAATTGTACAATAGACTTTAAACATCATTTGTCCAATAGGACTTGTCACACCGGTATACTTTGATCGAAAAGGAGCAAATCTATAGGCATGATAATAACCTTTATAAAATATTTACTAATTTACAGATTTTTAAAAAAATCATACTGTTAGTGTTAACTAAAAGAATCTGAATATGATTTAGATGGTTGCCTTTAGTCGGTCATCGAATTAATGTTTTGTTTTTTTTTTAAATTACCATCACTCTTTGAGCTGTAATATTCTTATCACTTGCTATAGCCCGCCAAACATTGGCGGCAGCAATGCGTGAACTTCCCATCTACTAAAGTTACTTTACAAAACATGAACTCAAGTAACGCACATTTAAGAATCCCAATATTCGCTACACCCCTTCCATCCATGACACGTCACTGCACACCTTTTTTTTATTTTACACCCATAAGCTATATTAAATATTCTGATGTCCCAGCCACTTTTAAACGGAATATTTTCACACCATACTTAAAGTGATACGATTTCATTTTCCGAAAAGAAAATATTACGTGCCAAACGCTGTTGTGTTATTTTAAAAAAAAAATATATATTATTTGGTGTAGTTATCGGGAACTATATTTTGCGCGCCATTAATCTCATTATTGAACTATACTTTCTTTCAAACATATAGAATTATTTGTAACATACTCTCAATACCAAATACGCTGATTAGGAAGCAGCCAGAAACGGAAGCAGTCCAAGTCCACGAGTCAGACCGGAAGCGTAACACACATAAGAGATTACTGATCAAGTCAGTATTAGACACATCTTTTGGTTTTCACCAGAGCCGTCGCGTTACGTTTTGAGGCCCCCCGGAAACTGTTCGGCCCGTTGCCCCCTGCATTGAAGGTTAACATTTTGTCCATACCACAACTATGACCCCTTAACAACTCAGCCATAACATATCAAGCATTCATAAACGAAAACAGTGACAAATAATTAAATTATAAAAATTGTTGTTTCAATAAATCGAGGTGACAATATCTGTAAATAAATAATAAGTAAACAACAAACAAAATCGTTATCAATCAGTTTTAATACGTCACATTGCTTAACCAACCCCCCTCCCCCCCCCCTCCAATCCCACCAACTCGTCTCACATTGTTCCCATGTATTGTATGTGGTCCCACCACATCGACCCCTGCTTTGTTTTGAAAGTTGCAAGACGTTATTGTTTATGGATGGTCCCCCTTTTTTCATTCATTCATACAAAAGAATTTGTTGTTGGTGTTGTTTTTGGTCTAATGTGACTACAGCAGTAGGCCTACACTACATCTACAACTGATCCATTTTTCAATAACTAACTGGAGCTTCATATTCTTTTCTTTCATTTTCATATCCTCCCATCTAAGTGTATTATCCCGTATGCCGTATACCAATACCATTCTTGTCAAGAAATATTTATCTCACCAACAATTAGGCCAACTCCATCTTTCCTTTTTTTGTTGTGTCTATAAAAGATAGTAAATGACAAAGTGACAGATGATTCCCCGCACAATGGCCGCATGTTGTGACATTTATTTCTTAAGATTTTCTTCTTTTCTTTGATTAGACAAAACTGTAGTTTTGAGGCCAAGAGCGACGAGTGCACCGCGGTAACCTCAGGGGGTCAGCAAACCAGCCAATGCTTTGGCTTTCTTTCTGCGTTGGCCACGCCCCGCAGTGGTGAGTGGCGTCTTCCATATCCATGACAACCCGAGCGATCGTTGGCGGTGGTGTAATCTTTTCCCTCTGAAAATTATGAACAGTGTGGGGAAAGATCACGAATACTAAGACAAGATCAATATTTACATTAAATTAAATCAATCAATATCACTAATAGCTCCAAATTTAATAAATTTGATTTTTCAGCCTTCGTCCCGTGATTGCGCTTCTACTTTGCGAATCTATTACCATCAGACATGATCCCTACTTGCTAAGACTAAGACTAAACGTTCAAAGTAATTAAATGTATCATTTATCATTTATCTGTCAGTAGTGTGTGTATGTGTGTTATCAAGTTCAAGTGGTCATTTGGGCATACAACCTTTGACCTTTATCAATGATTGAATCCCTTAAATTATGAACGACAAAAGTTTTTCCTAGCAATAAATCTCCAGCCTTCAACATTTTTTAAACATTATGACACATTTAATATTTAATGAAAATGTATTACTGTCCAGCTACCTTAAAGATGTGTTGAATAGATCTCAGATCTTTAAAATTGGAAATGCATTTAGGAATAAGGTTATATTTCTCTCTCTCTCTCTCTCTCTCTCTCTCTCTCTCTCTCTCTCTCTCTCTCTCTCTCTCTCTCTCTCTCTCTCTGCGTGTGATAAAAAAAAAGTTTTGGATACTGAAATGGAGAAATTAAATGATTCTAAAACACACCGCATTTTTAATCTCCCAGAGTTGAGGCAAGGTGGGCAGGCGGTCTCTCATAATTTGGTGAAAGCGAGACTGGAGCACATCTCCCCTCCTCAGGGCCCCGTCATAGTCCAGACCGTAGCTACAAGTAGAAGAGATTAGTAATAGAAGTATCTCCTTCTCAAGACCCCATCCAAGTACAGACCGTAACTAAATGACGTAGAAGAAAATAGAACTAGTAATAGAAATATCCCTCCTCGGGACCACGGTCCCAGGCCGTGGATACAAGTAGGAGAGAGTAGAAATGGAAATATCGGTTACCGGAAATTTGATCGAAAAGAAATTTTGTCGACGGTAAATTGATCGACGGTAATTTGATCGAAAGGAAATTTGGTAGAATCTTTTTTTCAGTTCACACGTTAAAATTCTCGTCAAATTTCTTTTTGAACGCACTCTTACTATGTAGTAAAACAAAATAATGCGTTCAAAAAGAAATTTTAAGCAAAGTTTTTACGTAAAACCTGCAAAAAATGATTCGACCAAATTTCTGTTCGATCAAATTACCGTAGATCAATTTACCGTCGTCGACCAAAATTTCTTTCGATCAAATTTCCGGATAAGGGAAATATCGTATGCCTGTGGCATTCAAATTCAAAATAAAAAAAAGTTTTATCACGGTGACCATTTCATTTGGTCGAGTGGAGATTGGTAAATATTCAATTTTTAACAATTACATTAAAACTATCTCATTACATTATGCGACAGTGTATTTGGGAGTCTTCAGGTGAAGGGTTGGCAAAACTGGGTCTAAACGAGTTAGGAGGAAGTCGAAGCTGTCAGGTTGGCCAGACAAACGAGGACTAGACGTGCAATGAGCTAGAGTCAGCTGACTCATTAAGTCCGTTAGAGCATCTGAGAAGAACCGGGACAGTCAGAACAGAGCTCAGAGTCTTGAGTGTGAACAGTACGGGAGATGATTCAAGTGAAAGTCTAACCATCAACGTGTTGTTACCTGATGGTTGCAGTACGAGAGACAGAGTAGACGAGGTTATCATCCAGATAAAGTAGTTAGAGAACGAGGGTAGAACAGAGAACGAGGGTAGAGCAGAGAACGAGGGTAGAGCAGAGAACGAGGGTAGAGCAGAGAACGAAGGTAGAGCAGAGAACGAGGGTAGAGCAGAGAACGAGGGTAGAACCGAGAACGAGGGTAGAGCAGAGAACGAGGGTAGAGCAGAGAACGAGGGTAGAGCAGAGAACGAGGGTAGAGCAGAGAACGAGGGTAGAGCAGAGAACGAGTGAGGGTAGAGCAGAGAAGCAGAGAACGAGGGTAGAACCGAGAACGAGGGTAGAGCAGAGAACGAGGGTAGAGCAGAGAACGAGGGTAGAGCAGAGAACGAGGGTAGAGCAGAGAACGAGGGTAGAGCAGAGAACGAGGGAGGGTAGAGCAGAGAACGAGGGTAGAGCAGAGAACGAGGGTGGAACAGAGAACGAGGGTAGAACGAGCCACGGTTCTCTACACTATTGAGGGGCGGCAACTGGAGATATTTTTCGTAAAGGTTCGGACCTCGTAAAAAGCTTGCAATCTTTGACACGCCCCTGGCTGTACATGCATGTGGATAAAAGCTTTATGGATGGAACAATGATGACAGTGGGGGGACAACAATGAACCCTAGTTGTATAAGGTTGATTCAACATGGGTCAAGGGATATTTTGGCTTACTTCCCCTTGGCTTTCTATAGTTATACACCGCTTGTCGGGCCACACCAGTCGCTACTTGAAATAAAATGTTTATAAGTTGATTTACACTCAAAAGTAAAACTTTTCCCAAGAACCTACTAAGTGAAGCGAGGTGGATCCGACACAACCCCATAATTAGACTTATCTGACAGTAAACCGGTTAAGGAAACGGTTGAAACGAGACTCACCTGAGAAACGAAACAAACCCGTCTAAAGACTAAACTGTTAAACAAGACTTCTTAGTGAAACTAGACTCTTCTATGAAACTTGAATTACTTGTAACACTAGGCTTACTTGAGAAACTAGATTCGCCTATGAAACAAGACTTTGTTTGCCAGAATATATTCTGGCAAACTAGACCTATCTGACCCACCTGAATAATTATAGACATATCTAAGAAAATCGTATCCGGAAATTTGATCGAAAGAAATTTCGTCGACGGTAAATTGATCGACGGTAATTTGATCGAACGGAAATATGGTCGAATCTTTTTTTTCCGTTATTACGTTTAAATTTTGCTTTAAATGTCTTTTTGAACGCATTATTTTGTTTTAATATATAGTATAGTGCGTTCAAAAAGAAATTTGACGAAAATGTTAACGTGTGAACTGGAAAAAAAGATTCGACCAAATTTCCGGTCGATCGAATTACCGTCGATCAATTTACCGCCGACGAAATTTATTTTGATCAAATTTCCGGTAACCTAAGAAAGTAGATTCGTTAACGAAATTGTGAAACTAGAATCACCAGTGAAACTAGACTTTACTGAGAAAATAGACTAACCTGTAGAAGAAAACTCACCCGAGAAGCTAGACTCATTTGAGCATTTAGATCTACCTGTAAAACAAGACTCACCTGAGATCAGAGGCGTAGCCAAGGGGGTGGGGGGCAGGGGGGACCGATGTCCCTGGGCGCCAGCTAGTTAGGGGCGCCAAAATGTGCTTTGTTATTATTTTAACGATTAAAATAATGGGTTTGAGAGTTGAAAAAAGAAAACGGGGCGATTTAAAATGGATCTTGTCCCCGGGCGCAAATCTTGTCCCCGGGCGCCAAACACTCTCGCTGCACCTCTGCCTGAGACGGCAAACTCACCTGACAAACTAGACTACCTGTGGAACTCGAGTTACATGAGAAATTAGACAGACACATCTGCAACTGGACAGAACCTTGAAACTACTCACCTGTGGAACCAGGCCGGCGTCGGTTCACTATAGGCATATGGCGGACACCGATCTACCCGTCGGTCCATCTCTGACACGCCCAGACGAAGAACACAGGGCGTTGCTAATGGTGGCCGATGAGCGTCACTTCCTTCTTACCGCGTCATAAAGATGGTGACCTTCTTGTATGGTAAGAAAAGCTCATATCAACATCTTTGTAAGACTTAACATTTTCATGACGGTAATAAAACGGGGGGGGGGGGGAAGAAAAAAAAAGGGGGGAAAGGAAAAAAGGGGGGGGGGGGGAAGAAACAGAAGGTGAGAAACCGAGAAAGTGAAAGAGGTCGAGAAACAGAGGAAGTGATTCTGGGAGGGAGACAGAATGAGTTTTGTAATGTTTATCTTTTCTCTACAAATCTGATATCTCTTCACCTAGCCACGCTGAATTGGAGTCTAAATTTATAAATCATAGATATCCCAAAATATTACAAGTTCCCATATTTTACTCGCGCAAACCAGGGGTCCTCATACTACGGCCCGCGGTTCAGATCCGACCCGGCTGGCCGCCGTAAAGTTACCTAGGTAGCAGTCACAACATGAGAGCGGACGTTGATAATATCACTAGCCTAATGGAGACCCCATGCTTCTTATTTAAATACTTTAAAGTAAACGGGGATTGAACAGATTAATTTTAATTACAAATAAGATAAGTCTATCTGCAAAGGAATTCGTTGACATCTTTCAAACCTAGAGCCAGGCTTACGAGGATGTCGGAAGGACACTGAACCGGCCCTGATCGTGACTGAGGCACACTTTACCGTTCCCCTTTTTAAAAAGTTTGAGAACCCTGGCACAAACATGGTAACAATTAGGTTTAGTGGTGTTTCTGTGGTCAAGTGGTGGTTTTGGGGCTTATTGTTGTTTGTTAGGTTTTGTTTTTCCTTTTTTTTTCTTTTTTTTTGGGGGGGGGGGGGGGGGGGGCATGTCGTTATTTTAAAAAAAACAACATTTAACTCTTCTCAGAGTTCACTTGTTAGAGTCCAAACTAAAAATGTCCCCTGGAGAACATTTTAGTTCCCACCCATAACTCTCCACACTCTCAGAAGTTGCTGTAAACCATTTTGAGATCCCTTCCCATCACACAGATCCGTTGAGCCCTGGTTGATTGCGTAGAAGATTGAACAACTCTTTAGTCCCACGGGTATCATGAATAGCGCCTTTGAGCGTACTGTCACTTCAACACATCAATATTCAACAGAAATCATAAAACATGATTTTATTGCAGTGGTTGGGTTTTAGTTAGTTTTCGTCAGCATGTGGCTTTAACGTTATTGAAATTTCTGCGTCTTTTAAAAATTAAAAACAAATAATAAGTATAATATGGGAAGGAAGTTTGACCATGTTGAAGACTAAAAGCTGTAATCAACATTTTACACTTTTCACATACCGCTGATGCAATTATTTTTTCCGTACTCGTCCCATGCCTTTTTTTCAATATCTCTGTTTATCGTATTTATTATTTTGAGGAATAATTTCAATGTTATATTTTTATTCCTTATTCTCTTTATTTTTTTTATTTTTTTTTTTTTATTTTTTTTTTTGCCGTTGAAGACTTTCTGCCGACACTAACGTCGTTGCTGTTGTGGCGTCCTTTACCTGTGTTTTATTTTTATTCACTTTTAGTTGCCCCCACATATATCAGAAACTTATTGAACGATGGGCAAGTGTCACTTTAAATCAGTGGTTCTCAACCTTAGTATGGACATGACATTTTCAACAGTTCCTCATGTTGTGGCTCCCCCAACCAGTGGCGTAGCGAGGGTTGAGGGTGCAGACCGCACCGGGTGACTCCATTTTAGGGGTGACACCAAATTGAAAAAGGGTTTACTTACAGAGCACACTTCTCGGTCCAACAAAATTTCATAAAAAGATTAACCGATCACATGTCAAATTTCCGAACACGAAACCAATCCAAATGCGCACTTTAGTAAAAGTTCAAGGTTGATGCGCCAGACTAGCAAACTATATAATTAGGTCAGAAAAAACACCGTTTTGACCATGATAAAAAGCTGATTGACGTGTTCGGTGACTTTCATAAGTGACAGGAAGCTATTTGATCTAAAGTCTGTGAAATAAAGCCTTCAGTTGATACCAAATACAAAGTGGTCGTTCGATTCTGAGTAAATGAATTTGAATAGGTAAAAATTAAAACCATTAAAATGGGCTTTTTACCAATAATGAGGTCACAAAATAATATTTTTCAAACTTTTCTAAATACCTTTTTAAAATTATATCTACTTAAAAAATATTTTCAAAATTGTTTAAGCTTTTTGAAAACAAATCTTTCGAAACCTAGAAATTTTCAAAAATAAATATTGTCACCGATGCGTCAGTAGCACCGCCCCTTGACATGCATTTGAGCACGGCTGTCATCCAGCACAAGGTCTTCTACATGCTGTGTGTTATTTCACGGTTTATCTGCTACCTTTACCTTTGGGCTGATCTACTTGAGGAAGTTAATCTTACACAGAAGTATCTGCAGACCAAAGGCTTTACTCTTGACAAAGTGGTGACCAACCTAGAGGCCTTAAGATAGTTTCTGCACGAGAAGCGCTGTCACTTGGTCGAACATGCTATTGAAAAGACACTAAAAAATTAGACCAACATGACATTTCAGTAGATAGGCGATTACGCTTGTAGTAGAGAATGACACGAGAATATATAACAGTTGCTGGACTCTATCGTTGAGAAGAAAACAGTAGGGAGATTGTTGAGTGAATTTATCGCTTTCTTTCTAAACCCCAGATCAAATCGTCAGCAATAAAGGAGGTAGAAGATATGTTTGGGGCTGTTCAACCCAAGAGTCAAATATCAGCAAGTGAAGAAGAGTTATTGGTGTCCGTTCCTAAATAAACCACCTTCTATGATGCGGTATCAGAAGATGAACTGTTAAAAGAAATACCTAAGCTTAGAAGACACCTACAGGCAGCTCATGTTGAATTTCACAAAGTTATGGACTAGTCAGTATTTGATACTTTGAAATTCTTAGCGGAATGGGACTTCCTTGCATCTCTTCCAATACTCTCGCTAAGCCTTCAATTTTTTTCTTACAATCTGTGTGTCTGTGGCTTCATGTGAGTGGAGCTTTTCAAAACTAAGGCTTATCAAGAACTATTAACAATCCAACATGGAAACGACAAGGCTTTCTGAAGAGCTCTACAATCAATTGAAAGTGATACGGTGAAGTAAATTGATTTTGATCAAATGATTGGCAGGTTTGCAGCTTTAATGATGAGGAAGTGAAATTTTGTATTAAATTAAATTTAATGTAAAAATAACTATAACTCAACGTTGTTACAGTTCTTGAATTCGTTTACCTGCTGACCTTTAATTAATTTGTTTTTATTCTTGTCATTTTTATACTGTGGACTCATTTTAACTAGAAGAAATCCATCGTGGGAGAGTGGGGTGACACCATGAATTTACCGCACGGGGTGATACCAACCTTAGCTACGCCACTGCCCGGTACAAAAAATTATTTTCGTTGATACTTCATAAATGTGTGTTTTCTGATGGTCTTAGGCGTACCCAGTGTAAGGGTCGTTCGACCCCCAAAGTGGTCGCGACCCAAAGCTTGAGAACCGCGGCTTTAAATTGAAATATCTTTAAAAACTATTTAAACCCATTGCTGGTAAGGAGAGTATGTTCACCTATACTCAATCTTAATGGAAAGATTGCCCACCCACCTACCCTCTAGTTGTAAAGACTCGCCTTGATGTCTCTTCAGCCAGTCTGTGTAGGGGCTATTGACAGTACATTAAAATAATGATTTCGTTTACTTTGTGTATGTGTGTTAAACGTGCCGGTTCATGTATCAACTTTTATGGTGGCCATTTTTTCGTTTTCTCGCATATAATGTGGATTTTTTAAAAAAATAGTCATCAAAAAGCAATTACGTCATTTATGAATATTAAATGCTCTTTCCAAAGGCTAACAACTCTAAATATGATGCCTTGCTGCTGTGGGTAACAGTTGAGATTGGGGCACCCTGTTATCAGGGTCACAATTGTCCCACTTTATTGAGGTCACAGTTATCCCTATTAAATACGGTCACAATTGTCCCTATTGGTTGGGGTCACAGTTATCCAAGTTTATTGGGGCCACAGGTGTCCCTTTTGACTGGGGTCAGAGCTGTCCCTGGTGATAAGGGTCATTTGTCGCGGTTGATTGGGATAACAGTTGCCCCAGTTGATTGGGGTCACAGTTGTCCCTCTTGATTGGGGTAATTTTTCCAGTTGATAGGTGGCCACATCTGTCCCTGTTGATTGGGGTCACAGTTTTTCCTTTTGATTGGGGTCAGAGTTGTCCATGTTGATCGGGTCACAGCTGTCCGTTGATTGAGGTCAGTTATCCAAGTTGATGGGGGTCGCTGTTATCCTGTTGATGGGGGTCGCAATTATCATTGTTGATTGTGGGCACACATTTCCTTGTTGATTGGGGTCAGAGTTATCCCTGTTGATTTGGGTCACAATTATCCAAACTGATTGGATCACAGTTATCTAAGTTGATTGGAGTCAGAGTTGTCCCTTTTGATTGGGGCCACAGGTATCACTGTTTATTTGGGTCACAGTTGCCCATATTGATTGAGGTCATAGTTATCCAGTTGATTGGGGTAACAGTGTCCCAGTAGATTAGGGCCAAAGTTGTCCCTCCTGATTGGGGTCACATTTGTACCTCTTGATTTGGGGTCACATATATCCCTGTTGTTTGGCGTCACAGTTGTCCGTTTATTGGGGTCACAGTTATTCAAGTTGATTGAGGCCAAGATTGTCGCTGTGGATAGGGGAAGGCCAGGGTTTTCCCTGTTTATTGGGGGCCAGAATGTTGACTGTGACTATAGAAGTCTCTGTTCATTGGGGACCAGGGTGGTCCCTGTTTAATGGGGGCAAGGGTGGTCCTTATTGACTGTGACTATAGAAGTACCTGTTGATTTAGGGGCCAGCTGGTTCCTGTTGAATGTAACTAAGGAAGTCCTTGTTGATTAGTTAAGTGTAAGTTTAGTGTTGATAGGGGTAAAACAAGAGACTTATTGATATCGGTATTTTCCTCAATTTATATTTAGACATTAGGTATTGAGCTCCACCCTCCCCCTCACCCATGGGTTTTAGGACGCAGTTTTCACAACTCAGAATTAAAAAAACAAAAAAACAACTAAGTTGTGGAATTAAAGTAGTTTCATCTTTAAATATCAAGGTATATTCTCAATTGTGACTTTTTTACTTTCAAAAAAGTTATTAGTTAACACAGTTTCAAGGCGTACACCAGTAAGAGTATCAAACACATTTTACAAAAAAGACAGAGGCTGATATGTCAACATCTCAATGGCAATAACAAAATATTTTCTTTGTACAAATGTTTTTATTTTAGAGTGTTTAAATCTGTATAGCAATTATAACTGCATCTTTTAAAAAGTAAAAAATATAATCATTATCATTAAATAATTAATTATTAATGTAAATTTCAATGTTTATTACGATAGAGAGAAGTTAGAAAACTTTTTATTTTTCCTTTTGAGGAAAAAGCTGAGTGGAAGTTTTGAAAACTACTTAGTGCCAAGTATTATAACTCATACTCATATTTATTGGGCACTAAGTAATTATGAATGGTTTCCCTTGAAAATGTATCTCCCCACCCCAAAGGGGAGGGAAGGGGGGAAGGGATATAACATCTTGGTTATAATAATGTTTGAACAGGTACAACTTTAACATTTTACAAACAAAACACATTTCTGATGTAAACCACACACAAAAAATCCACAGAGGAGGTTAAAGTTCATGGGGTCATTTTTCCATTCATCTTTGGAGTGGGCACATACAGCCATAGAAAAAATAAACATTAGTGGGTGGCCTTGTGCTGTAATGGTAGCATATCTTCTCACTCACATACAGCTCTGAACGTGTCTCGGTTTGTTCTAAGGTAGATCGGAAAATACCTGGATAGAGTGGACTCTTCAACCCAACATGGCAGCTATTCTTGATTAGGATTAAAAAACATCAATCACTGAAGACAGCAGACAACTTGGAGCGGGCGGTAAAAAATGTTTCCATATGGTATTATGAAGATAAGATTTATATATAAAATGAAAACAATGATGTAAGGACAAGAGGAACGATGTCAGAATACACAAATTTAAAATACTACTAAGCATACTGGTACACACATACGGTACAAAAATCAATACATCACATTAATAACAACAAAAAAATAAATACAGATCATGTCATGGGCAAGGGTAACAGTAAAAATTTAAAGCATGATAAACTTCCGAATATAATTATAAATAGGTAACGTGAAATATTTGAAGAACTGAAAGAACTTCAGGGCCAATGACATTTGGAATTGTGCATACTGGTCATCATGACTGGACATCACAAATTGACTCATATTCATATGGTCAGTGAGAGTGAGAAATTTGTTTTGCTGGCTCTGTCCGTTAATACATCTCTACGAGCAATTTCAATTTCATCACTGTTCACCGAGTGTTTTCTTTCTGTCCAGCAGCTGTCTGTACTCAACTCCAAGAACATTCAGCTGATATTTTAGATTGGCGATTTGCACACAGGTCTTGACTGCCTCACAAAAGTCTTTCTGGGATGAGCGCAGGGACTGAGGGACCAAAACTCCAAACAACGAGAGAGGATTGGTGATCTTCCGGTCAGTTTCTTCACAGTCCTCCTCTTCCGTCTTACTTCTATCTGAATGGGTTTCACTTCCTGTCTCAGTTTCTTTTGTGTCTTCCCTGCCACCAGGAGATGGTCTGTCAACTGTGGACTGACCGAGGTTCCTTTTTCTTGGACCTTCAGTCCCACCAGATGGCAGCCTGGATGACATGAGCTCATCACCTTTCTTAGGCTCCACGGGTTTGTCCACGGGTTTGTCCACGGGTTTGTCCACGGGTTTGTCCACGGGTTTGTTGTGTGATACACTCATAAGTTCAAATAACTTGTTCATGTCTTCGAGGGATTTAACTTCACCACTGACAGAGTGATCAGACTTCTGTATGCAAATGTCATTTTCTTGAACAAGGACATTGGCAGAGAGGTTGGCATCGACTATCTGATCAGAGGACACACGTTTCACTCCCAGATTGCACCTGGTCCTGGAAATTCCCAGAAATCCATTCTTCATAGCCTGGATTAGAATAATTTAAAAAAACTGTTAACTTATAAGATGAATAAGATTATGCAATATTCATTGTTTGATTAAGATAGAGCGTAAATTTAGACATTTAAAAAAAATCAAGCTCAATTTATTATTAACATTGAGCTATTGACTTTACAACAAATTAAAATGATGGGCTGGAATCAAGACCATTAAACATTATCAATAAGTCTTCTTGGAAAAACTGTTTTCTTTTTCTCTCTTATGTCCCCTTATAGGTATAATTAATAATAAAGAATGCAATTTCCATGCATTCCTCCAGCCTTGATGATTATACTTATACATTGCAAATACTTTAGGGACAAAATAGAACTTTGCAACACCACAAAAGAAATTAAATCATAAGTCTTTTCTGAAGCAGACAATGCTGATACCGGGTATGCACTGTTGCAGGCTGATCCATCCATCCCTGTGCCACTACAGTCCGTGTAAGACTTTGGCCTGCCTCACCCCTTCCTTCCACATAGCCCTAATTGATGCTTTTCCATGCTTAGATTCCCAGTTGCTGTAGATCTTTTTCCACATCATCCAGCATTCTAATCTTAGGTCTGCGTTTGAGCCGTTTTCCTCTGGGGTTTTGGTGATGCACCTTCTTCACACCTCTGTCACTTGGAACTCTTTCTAAGTATCCCGCCCAAAGTAGCCTGCCCTTTTTTATTTCTGCTACCAGCGTAGGATCCTGAGAAAGTTTAGACAATTCCTGGTTGGTTCATATTCTCCATCCATATTCATCCATTTATGTTCCTTATATTTTCTGGAGACCTTTTCTCTCACATGTATTTTATAGGTATTCTGCCATTTTTGTTCGGGTCCAAGTTTCTCTTGCATTTGTTACAACTGGTTTGATTATCATTTTATACAGTTTCCTTTGCTTTTCTTGAAATGTTTTTACTTTTTAGTATTTTGTAACTACTGAAGTTTGCCCTATTTCCAGCCAATATTCTTTCTTTTATTTCTGTTTCTGTTAGTACCGGTAATTCATTTATGTCATTTATTAAGGATCCTAGGTATTTGAATTTATTTATTTATTCAAAAGTCTGGTTGCTAAATTTAATGGTTTCATCTTCTCTTATCATAGTAATGTATTTTGTTTTTTGGTTGTCAACTTCCAGCGCTGCTTGTAGTGATGCGTCTTCTAATTCAATGAATGATTTTGATGTCTTTAATACTTTTCCCTAGCAGTGCTATGTCATCATCATATGCAAGACAAAAAAAAAGGGGTTGATTGTAGAGACCAAATCAGGCTGATCATTTCCCATATATTTTGCAATTGTCTGATTCATGGACCTTATCTCACTAGACATGGAATATTTTTAGTTAACAGAAGATTAAAAGTATGACCTGTCCAAGTAAGTCCTGAGCCTCATAGAGACGTTCCAAAACATCAAAGATTTGTAAAACAGTTTCATCTAACTGCTGGCAAACATCATCCATTGTCAAGTAGTTAGTCTGGAAAATGCATTTTTAAAATATAGTTCTAAAATAAGCTGAGAGAATACGAAAGAAGTTCCCATCTTATATCAACCACCAATTCATATTATTTTTTTAGCGGTCCCCCCTCCTGCCCCCCACATCAAAAGCCAAGTATTAGTAGTATTAAAGAGTAAACATGATAACTAATGAAAGACTAAAAAATAAAGCATTGAATATTTAATTTGAAGTGGCAAAAGTAGTAGTAGTAGTATTAGTAGTAGTGGTAGTAGTAGTAACACTAGTGGTAGTTATTAGTAGAAGTTGAAAACAAGATTTGTCAATTATCAAGACAAATAAGCAGTACTCCTAGGAGATCCCTGTCAATATTACAAAATCAGGATTACTAATATTGGATAAGTAATAGTTTGGTACCGGTACCAACAAGCGTTTGAATGTGCATTGTACCAGTAATTCAAATTGTTGACTTATAGAGTTATTTCTATATTATTCCCATTCATAATTTAGTCTAGTTCTACTATTCTGATCTTTACTGAACTGGTTAATCTTCCAGAGAAACACCTCAGCAGTCTTTGCCATAGCAGGCCTGTGATAGAGAATGGCAGAATGGTTTAGCCTGGAGTTAAACAATGCAGGGTTTCATGGCAAGATGTACAAATGATAAACATTCTTTCTCACCGATCATACTAAACAAAAATAAATAATGCCACATCAAAGAGTGTCCTGGATGAAGGGCTTCCATCCACAATGATCATCAATGACCTACCGGATGACCTACCGGATGAGCTATAGGTGAAGAAGGCACTCTAAACAGATGACTTTTTGATGTGGCACACTTGCCAACTCACAGGTATAAGTGCAAGATGTCTTAATGAAGACTTGATTAAGCTGTGAAAAGTGGAAACTGAAAGTAAACAACACCAAGACAGTATACTCAGTCTCCACAAGAAGCCATAAGGTAGCCAAACATTACACTATCCCTACAAGGCAATATACTCCAAAAAGAAGACAATCCAACATATCCCGGTGTCCAGTTAGATAGGCAACTCAATTTAAAAAATGCATGTTCAAAAATTGAAAAAAAAAAGGCAACAACATGGCTAAACCTTGTTAAAGGGCTGGCCAGTAGCTCATGATGCAGTGATAAGACCACACTATTAAGTTGTGCATAGGAAATGTGCTGTCAGTGATAGAATACAGCTGTGGGCTAAAGTCGATTTGCAGCAAGACAGTATAGGACTCTCTAGGAAAAGTACAAATCCAGCGTTATGTAGAGAACGTGTTAACGTCATCTTTCCCCATGAATTCCCCGTGAATGAACTCTAGCTGGCACCAAGTTCGAAATTGCATTTAGGGTGTGGCTAGCTAAAAATAGTCTCTCTTGCCTTTGTTTAAAACTTAATAAAATTAATTTTCTGTATCCTTAGTATTCCATAAAAAAATCTGGAGAAAACTGGACAGGAAAACAATGTGTAAGGCCATTCTAGAAAGATAATTAAAACAGACTATAAAAGGAGACACATGAGAGATTTTTGGGCTATCATTTAACACATGAGCTATTGTGAGCGTGTGCTATCTTTGCTATGAGACAAGAGATTTATTTACACTGTGTGTGTAGATTTTTTTCATCATTGTACCCTTTTTTGCACATTGTGTTTTCTTCAACATTGTACTGGTACAAGCCTAACATTTCTCTGTAAGTCAATAGTTTTAATTTTATTTCTTTTTGATTTTGTAATTCATTATAATTAGCTAATTACAATTTATTAATTGTAATTAGCCCTAATTTGAGTATTGTATTATTTGTTATTTTATTTATCATTTGGTGTCCTATTTTGTTGTGTACTGTTTTAAAACGAGCCATAAACTTAAATAAGAGATTTATTTCTCCATATTGATAACAGTACATAACACCCAGGCAGTACATTTCATCTTGGGAGGTCCAAGATCTACCACAACAGCAGCATTTGAAATACATACAATATTGAACAACTAAATCTTAAAAGAGAGGCAACAGTTATTGAGAAGGTTGAAAGGTAAAGAAGGTTAAACATGCAACATACAAATAAACAAAATGTTGAAAAATGGAGACAAAAGCATATAATTAAACAGAAATCTAAACTAGATGTGGTCTCTAAAATTGAAGATAAATAACACCTAACAACAGACAGAGAAGACTTGCTAATCATACCTAAAGACCTCTCCCCAAATAAACATTTACCAATGGTTTGTATCAGAACAGACCTAATTGAAAGAATAGAAAAGAAAAATACAGACCCCTTACACACAATGATAGCTGCAGAAAAGAAACATAGCATCCTACCAAGAGGATATAATGTTTTCCAAATATATACAAATGGGTCAGCTTTCAAAGGAGCTACATGCAGGATATGGCATACGAATAGAGTACCCAGACCAGTCATGTCGCGATCAGCAGTAACTATGAACCGGTATCGGCTGCTGTTGAAGCAGTGTTACACCACCCATCTGGAATCTACACAGCTTATATAAGCAAACAAAGAAAAGTGGTTATCTTGACAGTCTGCAAATCAATATTTAAGGCAGCTTAGCATCAATATTTCATAACAGTAAAACACTACTTCTAAACATAAACGCTTTCCTCGATACCTGATACCTACGATACATGATACCTACTATGCCTGATACCTACGATACCTGATACCTACGATACCTGATACCTACGCAGTCAAGCTAGCCTTACAATAAATATCAGGACACCAAAATATACCTAGCAATGAAAGAGCAGAGAAACTAGCAAAACCAGGAGCATTCAATGAACAGCCAAACATAACTACACCACTCAAACCTGTGAAGCAGATTATCAAAGCTAACAAAATAGAAAAGTGGTTGAATGGATGCGCTATGGGATAAACAGGAAAATTATTTTTACACACATGCCCAGCCCAAAACCTAAAAAGTCAATACATTTGCTTCCAAAGACACAAAAAGGTCATAATCTTACGACAGCGCACTGGACACATACAACTTAATTCCCACCCAAACTGCATAAAACCAAATAAATCCCCATTGTGCCCCCCCCCCTTGCAGACATCTAAATGAGACAGAACACATCACATCTACCACTGCCCAGCAATTCAGGACTTAAGCCTATACTATCTACCAATATACTAGACTAAGCAAACACCCATATACCAAAAAATAGCTACAGAGATTGTGTAAATTCTTCAATATGGCCACAGGCTGAAGGGCCAATTCCCAAATGGTCACTTGATCTGAATGATGATGATACTGATCAATCAGCTCTGACCATGATCACATAGTTCTGACATATAATAAATTATTGATTTATATTGTGATCCAGTTTTTAAAATGGTTTTACAATGAGTTTAGAAAGGTACTTTGGTGAGATGTTCAAACTATTTTTTGAAATATAAATGCATCACGGTGGAATAGAGCCAAATGAAAAATTGACAAAAACACCAAAATCAATATTCTAATTCAAATGGTTCAATAGTTTAAAATATGTGTATGCGGACCTCAGGGCAATTTTTTTACCACTGAGTTTTCTTCCACATTGTGTCACCCATTTTTCAGCTCATCACTTTCACACACATTTCTTGTCCATTCCTCACTATAAAAATGTCATATTTACAGGATTTATTGATGATTGATGATATTATATATTAATAAATGAAAGTATAAAACATGCTTTAGAAAAGCATTTTATTGTTTAAATAATAAACTGTGCATTTTTGGAGTGAAACAATAAACACAACTTATTAAATGTTGAAGATACAAAATTGAGATTTGGTGTTGTGTTGAAACTTATTAATCAAAAAAGGAAGCAATATTAATATTTATTTATAAGAGAGAAAAAAACAAGGACTTTATCAGGGACTCTCAAACCAATAAAACTCATGAAATTTTAACACTTAAACCTGCATAAATTTATCATCATTTTTTTGGTTCATTGAGTTCAAGCAAATTTTGATATCATTTGCAGTCATTTGAGCTATTCACCTTAACTTAGAAGAATAATTAGGCTATGATTCATGATAGGATCTAAATTTTAGACTTAACTCTTTCGCTGCGGAATTTTTTTTAATCGAAAAAATGTACATTTTTTTCAAAAAGCAGAAAAAGAGTGAGAGGTTGGGTTTACTAAAATATTTTTGAAATATTATTCTTTGGTTTATAAGACTAAACTTAGTATCAAATGAAAGATAATTGAAAGGACTATATGTTTGTACACTTATTTCTTTACTTTAAATAAAATAAGTTACAGAAAAGAACCATAAAATGTGAAAATATTTTATGCTAAACCATTTTTCCCAAAACCCTATGATGTACGTATACCTCATCTTCACTTCTATAACTCAAGTCCTCTAAAACTACTACTATCGGAATCATGCAATGCATCTAAATTTAAATCATTTTTGCTATCCAAAGAAATAGTATAAAACAATTCCAAAGCTTTTCTGACTGTTAATCGTCTAGGAAATTTACCTACTATGGTCTAGAGTAGCCATAGCAACAGTAGAAGAAAAAAAACTTGAATAAAATCGTCAAAATAATGCTTCAAATGACAACAAATAAACCTTGGTTTCCCTTATAAACAATGAAGTACCATTTTTCTATGTAAAAGTCTTATTTAAAAATAGCTCTTAAAAATTTTAACCGAGAAATAGCAAAGAAACAAAACATGATATTGAAACAATGCACAGGGCGTTAATCCACGCTTTTGAGAACGCCGGAAGAACGCAGTGTGCATTGTTCCGCATCGAAAGAGTTAAGTCTCAAGTTGTTGTTATTCATTTGAAAGATTTTTCTCTAATTATAATTCACATGTGGAATATTTTAATTTTAAAATATGTTGTAGAACTGTTTGGATTAAATGGTTGTGTTACTATTAGTAATTGTAAACAAATTTGTTAGATTTATTGTTATAGTAGACACTGTGCTTATTTCGTTTTCCTCATGCATGAACTTTGGGTGACCCCAAGTTTGGCGACACGATGGGTGTGGCCCAATTATAAATTTCCTCCCTTGACCTTGACTAAGTGTAAACACAGCATCTAATCGAGTTTGGTGGAACTTACAAGAGGACCCTAGGTACAGATACAGTGCGTCTGGACCCTTTCTGGAAAAGTCTCTATGAAAGACTATAAATAAGCCGATCGACAGAGAAAGCAGTAGAGATAGAGAGACAGATATAGATACAGATTCAGATATGAGGCGAGAGCGAGACTAAAATACTGACTTATAGTACATTATATTTACTGTGTGTGTGCACCTTCCATACATTATACCAGTTCATTACTGTAAGTTAATAGATTTTTATTTTATTTCATGTGATTTTGTATTGTTAAAGTTAGTTTTAATAAATTTGTTATTTTTAATTAGCCCTAGTTTGTGTATCATTCTTTATTAATATATTTAATCAGTGCTATCATCTTTATTATGTACCGTTTGTCATGAGCCATATATTAAAATAATAGATTAAAATCTCTACACATTATTCATTATAATATAACGATGCGTAACACTTATTAGTAATTAGTACAAGTCTAATTGCTTAATATTTTGTGAAATTTTTAATTTTGGTGACTTTGATTTTTATATTTACATTTATTATTATTTCAATATCAAAGGTAAGTTGTTGAATTTGAAAGTGTTGTTTTTTTTGGGGGGGGGGGGGGTTGTTTACATAAAAACAATTAAAATTATAATTAGTTTCATATTATTAAATGAATTAAATATTTTCCTGCAACCAGGTTAGGTAAGTGGAAATAAGTAAAACAAAGTATGGGAAAACCTGCAAAAAAAAAGGGTGCAACAAAACAAAACAAAAAGTGTAAGCAAGCCTTCTACTTCTTCAGTGAAAATAATATGAAAATATAAAATTACAATTAATAAACACTTGCAGTAGGCCCTGTATTTCCATATAGTATTGTCTTCACTGTAGTTTGCTCATTAAAGAAGGCTTGCTTACGCTCACACTTTTGTTGTTTTAAAATGTTTTGTTGTGTCCTTTTATTTTGCATGTTATGATTATGAGCTGCCCCTTTGTCAGCCTTTGATTTTTTACTACTAATTATTAAATTATCAATTATATTTATTATATTCAATTCAATAATTTGTTGGCATTATTATTTTACAGATTTCTTTAACCTCCCTTTCTTAAGCTATTCTAACGACAGCAAATTACAAGTACCTTTATTTCACACCCTTTCTGACTTTAAATTAAGTGATCTTGTCAGGTGTTCATTTGGGTTTCACAAGATTTATTTCATAGTTTTTACAGCATATTTCGAAAAGTTCCGAGATATATCTGTTGTGCTATATTAGAACCTCAGGAGCAAATTTATGAATTTATTTACATTATTTTTAAGGTTGTATCAAGACACTGTATAGTTTATACCCACTCCTAAGCAAAGTATTTATGTTCTTAATGTAAGACACACACGTGTATATAAACTGCATTTAAATTAAGCTAAATATCATTTGGATGGACGTTGAGCAGGTAGCCTAACCGAATTATTCAAGGGTTTGTTCCCTTGGCCTCAAGAGAGAGAGAGACTATTAACCAAAATATTGATAATAGATCTGGGTGGAAAATTAAAACAAAAAAAATATTTTAAAAATTATTAATTTAAGGGCGCTAATTAATAAACTAAAATTGAAATTTAAATGAAAATGACTAATAATATTTTTCTATAATTCAAGTTACAACATTAAAAAAACAACAACTTAAGTTCAATTTATAAAACTAGCAGACACATTTTTACCACTTCATGTTTTCATATATCCAAGAAACAAAATGGAAGCCTGTGCAGAAATGCAAGTCCAAACACAGTGGCATTTATTTCAATTATGAATATTATAAGAAACTTTCAATAGTATTTACACTTAAAATAGTTACATATATTTGTACTAATTCATTTACAGAAATATTATTTTTAAAACTATTATTAGCTATATTCGGCAGAATTTTTTTAATGAAAAGCTTCAGTCTCCTGGACTTGACGCTTGTTGTTATGGACGCTATTTTGGGTTTTATTAGTTTTATTTTAGGCTCCCCATTTTAAAGTCTCAACCTTTACCAAATTACATTTTGGCGATTTTTAGAAAGTTTTCTTGACATGCATTTTATAGAGTATAGAGCCTACTACGATGTTAAAGTTCAAGTATAGCCTAAATAGAATGGAACTTAATACTTTAATTTAATGAAAATTAATGAATTCTGTCATGATGGGGGTCAACAAGGCTCTTAATTAAAATTAATATTACTATGTACCCTATTATGGTGAATCACTTGATTCATCTGCTGGTTTAGAGTAGGTCTACAGACTAAGTACATAATTTATGAGATTATATTTTATTATAAAAGTACAATCCTGATACTGTTCATAAATAATGTTTTATACTACATCATTTTTAAATGATTATGAATGTTGATATTTGAACAAATTTTCTGAAAAGTAAATCAGTTCTCAGTGGGAATGGTAAAGCCAGTAAAATTCAGCTCAGAATTGGCAGAATTTCTTTTTTGAAGTATAATTTAATTCATTCTTATTTATCTCCAATGCCAGATTGATTAACCTCTTGATTTATTTTCTTTGATGATCTTAAAAGTTGTGTATGATAATAAGAGACTACACTCAGGTTAGATAAAGGAAATATTTGTAACAGGGCATGGGAAAACCTTAATAACTTATGCAAGAAAGCAATGCGGTTTTGTTGCATCCTTTTTTCAAGTTTTCACTTATTTCCTTAAAAGTTGTGTACACCACTTACATTTGCAGTAACTTTTGCTCCAGTGCCCATCGATATTACCGGGTACTTATATTATGTTGTTTTTCTTGCCATGATTAGAATAAAACATTTATTTATGTTTTAATCTTAGCACACTTAACAATAAAGCTTACAATTTTTCAATAAATGTTTTACTATCAAAAAGAAAATCATACTAATTTTGCAATTTTTTAATTAGGTACATCTGTCAAGAAATTTAAGTTGCCAACACAATCTGCCCTTAAGCTTTAAACAAAGTGTTAAGAATAAGAATTATTAGAAATGCAAGCAACAGGATTAATTCCAGCCAGATTTCTAACTATAATTGCACATCTGGTACTTGTCATTGTCATATTTTGGACACGGGTGAGTTGACATTTTATTTTTTGTGTCAATGCAATATGTTCTTGTAACTTTAACTAATTTGAGAGTCACAAAAACTTAAAAACTTTGAACTGATTGCATTTTTGGGATATAGCTCAAATTTATACCTGCCATTTATACTGTTGCAATCCTTACAGTATTAGTTCGCTGACAAAACCTTTTCTTGGAGAGCGAAACAAGAATGGTTATTTTATTGGTCCTTGATTTCTTTTAATTTTCTTTTGTTTCCAGGAAGAAAATATAAAAATGTGCTTACCAGAAGATTACAAACAGTCTGATTATGATAGCAAAGATGTTGAGTAAGTCAAAAACCAAGCTACTTTCACCATTTAAACTTGAACAGTTAACATTTTTTTAAAGATTTTTTTATCCAATGTTAAGGATGCACCTACATTTAACCATAACGTGATAACCATTGGATGTAGAAATTTAAAATAATTTTAATCAGTTAAATCATTAAATTATAAATACCTCGGTACTTAAAAAACGTATAACTGAACACATTTATTTTCAGAATGATTGTTGCTCTGTCCATAACTCTCGGCCTTTTTGTGATTGAATTGGTGGGATTCATGGGCGGAATTACAATGTTCATGTCATTTCAAGGTCTTTTGTGTATCCTTTTCTACTCGATTCTACTTTAATTTTTTGCTCATTACTGGCAGTGTAATTTAATACTATTTAATATCATTAAAAAGGTCGTGAGCAGTATGCAGCTGTCTTGTGACAAGGGCCGACAAGGTTGCATCCCACCCTCTATTGGAGGCAAGGGGTAAACACTTGATTGTCTTGTATCACTTTCCTGAAGGCAGTGGTCTGCAAATCACGGCTCGCTAGCCACATGCAACTCTTTAGTGATCTGAGTGCGGCTTGGCCAGCCGGCCACAAATCAGTTTAGACTCAGAAAAACATTATTCTTGAAATGAAATTTGGCTCTCAAAATTATTAAAAATTGTCCTGCTGCTGATTTTTGGCTCTTTTGACTATTGAGTTTGCCGACCACTGCCTTAAGGTAAAAGCTGGTTTGATAGATTTAATCCATGTGTCATATGCTTAAATGATAAAGTTCAATTGGGTAAAAATTCTTTAATTCAATAGAAAAAATATCAATAGCTTTTAAAGTATCCTTAACTCCAGTGCAGCAACAGCCGCACACAGTGGAGCCGCAATTGCACTTGCATATTTCCTGTTTGACCAGTGGCCGTGTCAGTGGTATTGGTACATCTTTGGATTTTGTTCAGCATTTCCTGCCTGCATGGAAATAATTTATATAATTGGCATTCTTTGTTTTAGGAAAGGATACTAACTGCTAAAACTGCATAATGTATAAAATAGTTTGTAAATAATAATATGAGACCAAATTATAGTGTGGTCAAAATGAATGCGTGTGATGTAATACAAATTGTTTCTTATTCTACATTAAAATGTTGATACTGTGGAGGAACTCATTTACTTAATATTTAAATTCAACCAGTTTTTTTTTTGTTTCATCTGGCTTAGTGTAATGTTAATTTTATTGGTGAGAATATTGAATGTTTATTTAACCACTGCGTACTGAATAGATTTTAGTTTATTTAACCTTAGTTCCTCTCATACTATTTATATTATAATGCATAGGGTGACTATATATTCCTGTAGCCGTCCATTAAAGCATTTTCCATGCTGATGCCCATTTTTGCATTGTATTTGTTTGTACTGGGTAGTTTTAATATCTCCCTCGAAATTAACACTACAGAATCAAGCGGAAAATTTCAGTAATAAGTAATACATTTGCATACTTGGAAAATTGTCTAATGATTAATGATGTGCATATTTAATTATCTTCAAACAGATCGTTACCATATATCATTTTTTTTTAAACTGATTAAATGACCTAAGTTAAATAAATACATTTTTTGGAGTTAATTTCTCAGTCACATTTAGTTGTACTTTTATTTTTATGAAGTTTTTTTCTTAATAGAGATTTCATTATGAAACTTTGGTACATCAAATTAGCAAGTCTTGTTACTATTATTGGAGGTATGTGTCAGTATTTTTTAATTATTGTTGAATTTATTTAACTTAATGAAACCTATCCAAAAGAAAAATCAAAACAGACAAAAATAAATTGCACAACTGCCTAGAAAACTGGAACTGTGTTTAATTTCTTCCTTTTAAGCCTTCTTGAAGAATTGCCTGTCCAGGCACTTGGCAGTATTAGTTAGTGTTTCCAGTTATGTTATTATTGGTGGAAAGTGTTACAATATTTAGAATCTTCATTTCCAACAGAGAAAAAAAATGTGTTGTCATTCCTCGTTAATGATTTCTGTAAAGTATCTGACCCAGTTCAGGTGATGCAGGCATCATTCAAGGTTGAGTAATAAATAAAGGAATACAATTAAAGCATTTAAAAATATTAAATGACTTGTTTCCAAACCGGAGAGCCCCCCAACTTTCTGTATTAGTTAAGAGGAAGAGGAAAAAAGGATATTAATCTTTACAGTAGCAATAGACGAAACCATTTTGAGGAAATATTAGGGCAAGAATATTTGTATTAAAGAAGGGGAAACGGAAGCTAAAGTTTGGAAACCACTGCTTTAAGACTAAAAATTTTCATTAATGTAAAAAAAAACAATTTAAAATGTATAAAAATGAATTAAAATCACATGGGCTGATAAAGTCAACCAAATATACAAAACTGTATCGGTAAAAAAAAAAAGATATATATATATAATATAATAATAATATACCGTATGTAGGCCAACATATATAATTGTTTTTTTTTTAAATAATCTCTAACATTTCAAAATAACAATGTAACATAGCATCCATGAATTCAATTATAATTTTAAATGTTGAATGCCAATTGTGTTTATTTTTTTAAATTAAAAAGTGATTTTAGCCAAAAGTGTATCATTACCGGTACCTAAAAGATATCATCTTCAAGTAAGCTACATGCAAAAGTTTTAAAGAAAGAATTCTTGTTAATATGGCATTAAAAATGTAAAATACTTTTGAAGAATTAAGGCATCATAACTTCAGAACATTATTGTTTCTTCATGAGTTATCCTAGAAAATGTTCAAATTTGATATATTAAATAGGTTTATTTCGGTTATTTTTTTAAGGCTTGGTCCTAATGTTAGAAAGAAAACTTAATTGTACAATTTTTTTCCCCAATATTTATTGAAAAGGGTATAATTACTGTATAGTACTTGTACGTCATTGGCTGAAAAAATCAATTTTTTAACAGATCTCCAACAATATTGGGGCAGATATCCAGGTATCCAACATTGATATTATTGAAGTTTTACACGTAATTGGTTGTTCCTAATTCAACACTTTGAGAAAAATTCTTTATAAAAGTGCAGAACAGTTCTTAAAGACCGCTCTGTAAAGATCCTTACGTCAATGAGATGAGCAATGTTGTGAAAGAGGTGGCAGGCAGAGATCTCTAATGAGAATAGAGCTGGGCAAATGAGATAATACTGCTAGGGAAAAAAATTCATCTGAGATGAGAACTGATACATACAGGCTCTGGTTGGTGAGAACTTACATACAGGCTCTGGTTGGTGAGAACTGATACATGCAGGCTCTGGTTGGTGAGAACTGATACATGCAGGCTCATGTTGGTGAGAACATACATACAGGCTCTGCTTGGTGAGAACTTACATACAGGCTCTGGTTGGCGAGAACTGATACATGCAGGCTCTGGTTGGTGAGAACTGATACATGCAGGCTCTGCTTGGTGAGAACTTACATACAGGCTCTGCTTGGTGAGAACATACATACAGGCTCTGGTTGGTGAGAACTTACATACAGGCTCTGGTTGGTGAGAACTGATACATGCAGGCTCTGGTTGGTGAGAACATACATACAGGCTCTGGTTGGTGAGAACATACATACAGGCTCTGGTTGGTGAGAACTGATACATGCAGGCTCTGGTTGGTGACAACTGATACATGCAGGCTCTGGTTGATGAGATTCATAGTTTAAATAAAATAATTGCACAGATGTGCTTGCAAAAAAAAAAACAATGCTTGTTTGGTGAGATTAATGGCTTAAATAAACCAGAATGTACCAGCAGGTTTACTTTCAAAATAACTTTGGTTAAATGGGTGGTTTACAAACTGCGTCAGAATGAAAAAACACTAAAGCTACAAATAGAAAATATGTTAAGTTACACAACACATTTATTTACATAATGCTTGAATAGTTGAAATAATTATTGGCTACAATAAACATGTGACATAAGATAATGATTCTGATAAATGGTTGTCTAAAGTTTCCTACAATTTTCCTTCAAACTCTTCAGAGCTGTTTAAAGGTCAATTTTCGTATATGCTGAGCTAGCTTTTCCATTTCAATGGGTCAAATTAAAATCACAGGTTCATTTTTTTTTTCAATGTTGACTTTTTTCAACAAAAAAATTTTGATTTTAAATAACCAGCTATAAACAAAATAGCCATAAAAATATATACCGTACCATGTTACCTGTGAGGATATCTCAACATTCCAGTTAAGATAATCAAAACAGCCATACAAATATATATATTGTTACCTTTGAGCATATCTGAAGGTTAGTCATAAAAAAACTTTTTAGCAACTGAAATTATTTGTTTTTTATAATATTAAGGTAAAAGAAAACACTGCTGACCGATGTGCTTTGAGCACGCCATCAAGAGGTTTAAAAAGTGACATTAAAAGAGCACAAGTTTTTATAATATTTTACAAATCCACTTAGATTAAACTAAATAATTTAGCTCACAAGCTAACTTTGTGACAATTGGCATATACTAGACAAACTAGGACTTAAAGTTATATATTTTTAATTGTATTTTACTCTCAACAATAATACATTTTCACATTTGACTTACCAATAATGTTGGTTTGCGCTTATTAACAAATCTCATAGTTACTTCACATACAGAGTTAAAAATTATACCTTACAAAAACAAATTTTAAAAAGCTGCTGTATTTTTTTTTAAAGATTTAGATACTGCTTTCTTATATAATTAGGACCTCTTCAAAATCCCTGTATATTACACACAAATTCAGTTACAGTTTCAGTTTCCAAAGCAACTGGAGAAAAATTTAGTCAATATCAAACTCATCATCTTCCCTGGTCCTTTTTACCTGTGAGCTTCCAACCTCCTCATGTGATTCAATGAAGTTAATTGAGCTAGCCGGCATGCATAATGGATTACCAGACAAAGTACGCTCACTTGACGAGTTTCCTGAATCATTAGCGCTGTGCGTTTTTTTATCTTTCTGCTGAAGAAATCAAGCAATACTCTGAATTAAATGTTATTGAAATGTAGTAGTCATAAACATCAAACACAGTCTACTTTTAATGAGAGCTATCACATTTTTTTAAAAATAAAATAATTTATAATATATTTCTTTTACATATATATTATATTGGTATATATATATATATTTTAGTATTCCCTGGATGTCTAAGAAGTACATTTTCCCCAGTAGGTTCTAAGTCAGCGCTATATGATAGGTAGTTGTTGACAGTGTACATGATTGTTTATGCATCTTTTTAAAAAATCTAAAGCGAAACTAAATGGATGAACATCATTTACAGGAATTACAGCCACATGTTGCCATTTTAGGAAATTATGGGACTGCTTTCATTTCTAAATCCTAATGTGAACCAAAGTTTTATATACTATTATTTTTAGTGAATGGCAAATGATAGTAGCATACTACATCATGTTTATATAATGTACAGAAATAATAATTGACAGGAATTAAGGTCAAAATAATAACATTTAAAGCATGATAAATGTATTACTTTTAACTCCAGTACATCTGTCCTCAGTGAGAACACCTCTTTCTTTAGTTCTTCAACTTCTTTTTGTAACATTGTACATCCTGGACAAGCTGAGCTGCTTGACATCCTATTATCTGAGAACACAAAAGAGAAACCGTCTTACAAACGGTTTTTAAAATAAAGCTCGGGTGGGCAGGTAGCTGACCCTCAGAGTCCACTACATGAAGAAAAACCACACCAATAAGCATATTAATTTAAGTGGATTTTTAAAGATAAATAAATAGTGAACCTAATGAGTTCCCCATGTTGAGGAAACAGTGGCATTTTTTACAGATCTTATTTGAAATAAGTGAAATAAAGGATTCAGCTTCAAATATTGATAGTTTTTCTTAAAAGTTTGTTCCTCAAAACACATTTTTTCTCCAAGCATATTTCCTAAGAAGATGTGATAAACAGAACCCCATATTGCAGAATAAAAATGCCAACATTGAGTGACTGCCTGACCTCATATACTATGTCCAGTAAATCAGGTGACATTTTTATTTATTTTTAATTAACATCTTGGTCTATCAATGGCGCTACAGCTATTTAAATAGAAGTTAAATTCCATGTTATTATTTATATTTCTAGGCCTACTAGTACTTAAATAAATGTATGACATTTATTTTTAAAATAGAATAACAACGAAATGTCGCCCTGGATCACCTTTGAGTTTCTGTTGATGACTATTTATATAAAATAAATAATAAGTAATTTTTTTTTTAAGCGTTTTGTTTTTTAAAACCTCCAGAAATTGAAATTGCTTTGTTGAGGATGTTCAAGCAGGGAAACTGCTTGCCTTTTCTTAAATGTTGAGTTGTAAGTGATGATGAAAAAAAGGGTTACATTTGGAATTTTGATGTAAAAATCATTCTCAATAGTTATTTTGAATAAGTTACCTTCTTCTTCACCTGATGAACTTTTACGCTTGCGCTTTAAATGAGTATAATTTGATACTGATGTAGCACCTCGAATATATGAGGTATTATATTCACTGCCTTTATAGGAGCTTATATCATCATCACTCTTGCCTGCTTGACGTCCTAATCCATGAGAACAAAATGAAAATTTAAAAAAAATTTCAAGTCCATTTTATTAAAAACTTTATTAATTTTAAAATTTTGTGGATGAAGAAATGTAAAAAAAATAAGCATAAATATTAAAAAAACATTTTATCAGACATGAAAGTGGCCATGAATAAATAGCAATCTAAAACTTTTTATTTTATTTGAATTATTTCTAAAGGGCTCTCTCCTTCCCCTTGTGTTTTGAGCCAAGTCAAACAACCACTGACTAGGACTAGGACTTAAAGATGCAATATTTTTTTTATATTTTATGTTCAATGATTTTTTTTTCAATAAAAATTGTAAATCTTTACCTTAATTAATTTGAGGACAAAGACATGAGTGTATGGACAGAATAATGGATAAATATCAATATGTACTTATTACAATAAGACAGCCATTTTCACTCATAAAAGAAAAATTTATGATACATTTTAAAATTATTTATTAAAATATCAAACTTACGTGAATTATTAAATCTCATCAAATGTTCTAAAAGTAAAGGCTCTCTCCAAGAACTGTCAATTCCAAAAAGATCAAGTATTTTTTTCACTTGTTTGTCAGAAAGATTGTGATTTCGTGGGCAGTCATAAAAGCAGTGATCTTCTATGTAATCAGAGCACAAGTGCAATGATTTGCATTTTTCATTAGCACATCTTTTCCCCTTAATATCATTATAGTAAATACATACTTGTGGCATAGTTGTTTTACTTCTTGAAGATGGTCTTCTAAAAAGTCTTCGCAATTCATTGTCATCCAATCTGTCCAAATTATGCTCCCTTAAAAGAGGGGCATTATGAGGTGTATCAAAGTCATGACCGAACATGCAATTTCGGCTCTTATGAAAAGTACATGCATCTTCAGAACAAAGGAGAAAGGTTCTGCATAGATGAAGAGCTTCACAGCGTCCATTGCAATTTCTGTTACGGCCATCAGCTGCTTGTCGGCAGTGTGTCTCACATAAGGTAAGCTTTGTAAAAACATTCACTAACTCAGTACCATTCAGTTGAGATGCTCTTTTATTTCGTTCATCAATTCTGAAATTGTCTTTATGATCATTCAATACTTTCCAAAGATACTCTCGATCAGACACTCGAAGGGTATCCATAATGGCTTGCAGATCTAAATAACCCCTATTAGTATTATTTATGATTTGCACTAAATTATTAGCTATTGGTCTTGATTCCAGACGCCTATGGCTATCATAAGATCCATAATAATACTTTTTATTCTCCATTTGTTGATTCAGTAAAGGCAAAAAAATTAGCTGGCAAAAGTCAATTTTTATTAATGATCAGTTGTATTACTTGTATACAAGTAAATTCTGAAAGGAAAAAAAAAAGAGATAATATTTTCTTTGTTCACTTAAATTATTTTGTTTATTAAGTGGTAGTTACTTTTACAGAAAAGCACATTTTAATATTAACCATATTACGGATAATCAATATTTAATTTTACTCTCAGAAACTTTACTGTACCAATGAACAAGCTCAATGTATGTATATTTTCCAAAATAATATTTTACTAAACAGACATATCCAAATAAGTTAAGAACTATGTGCAAAAAAAGAGCAATCGTAACACTTAGCAAGTATAAATATCTTCATTTGATTGCTTATGAGAGTAAAAGAAATCAATTATAATTAAAATTTAAATTAGTTAATATGGAAAAAGAAAATAGGAAGAGTTGATACTCAAATGCTTCTCTTGGATAAATAAGAAATTGAATATTTTTACATGTCTTGTTAACTAGAAAATGACAGTACCTTTAACATAGTAAAAGCATAATCATAGTTCATAGATAGGATCAGTTCGTTTTTGCTAAGAGCTAGACTGTAGCCTAGAGCAGACTTCTGCAACCTTTTGTCATGCTTGGCAAATCCTAGGCCCCTCAGAGAACTACATGGCACACAACAAGTAAATTGAACACTTGAAATTAACATGAGCCAGAATAAATTTTAAATTAAATAACAAATTACAATTAACATTCAAAATGCTGTTTAATGCTCAAAGGTATCTGATTACACTGTATTGTTCCATCTTAACTGTCACAATTGAACAGATTAATGTTGCTGCCATGTGTACCAGCTGGGTAATGTCCCTTATGTACCAAGACAGTTTTATCCTCTTTAACTTTAAGAATGTACTTTTCCTCATCCTGAAGGCATTTTGCTCTGCACACCTACCATTATCTTGTGGCACACTAGTGTACCATGTCCCACCAATTGTGAATCTCTGGCCTAAGAAGTTAAACAGTCCAACACATATAATTATTAATAGAATTTAGACAAAATAACATATATAGGTGAAAGGTTTATATTTATATGCTATATTATATATTATTTAGTCCAAATCATTATTAGTGTAATATTTTCATATCATAACTATGCAAGTACTCACTATAAACTTTTTGGTAGTCACTTTTGCATAAAAATGGTTGATCATAAAATTATCATCCTTGATAGTCTTACTTAGGATTTTTTTCATGTTTCTTTTCTTTTAAATTGACAGGTATAAGTGGTTTCCTAAGGGGTCATCCATAAATAAAGTCACGGTTTCTAAGGGGTCATCCATAAATAAAGTCATGCTGTTTGACTTTTTTTTTTTTACATATTTCCCTACCCCAATTGTCAAAAATTGTCACTCGTATTAAAAAGCACTCATCATAAATACATTCTTCCCCCCTCTTCCTCCAAGGTATTTGCCAACATGGATGGCACCTAAAAGGAGTTTCAAACAAACTACCCAGTTAAGTTCAATAATTTCAAATTAAAAAATTGGGGCTAAATTAATAATAAAAATATTAACATAAAATAGGTCTAAGCTGCCTATAGCTAAAATCAGAACTCTGCAACTGGTGTTTTGCGAAATACCAGTGTGCTGCTAGATGATGCCAGGTGTGCCGCTGGGCAAAATTCCTCAAAGTGGAGGAAAAGCACAAAGTACATGTCTGTATGTAGGTATCATTGTTGAGAAGCTGTCAAACTGTGGGATAACAGAAATTTGTCTAATACAGACAGGCCCAGAGGTAGTCTTCCTAAGGCCCTAAGCTATACAAAGTCAAGAGGCACCCTATTTCTTTAAATTACATCAGCTGGTCAAAGAAAAATTGTAAATATATAGCCGGCAGCCTAAGCTGTAGCTTAGTTAGCTTATAGGAAGATCTGACACTAAATACACACAGTTGATATAGAGCCATTCAATGTTGTAATAATATAACTTAGGAATTACACACCACAATGAATGTTAACTATATTATGTTATTTAATATATATTTTTGCATGTTATTACTTATGGTGTGCCAAGGAATTACTGGAAATGCCTAGAGTGCAGGAAATCAAAAAAGGTTGCTGAGCTCTGATGTAGATGGCTATAACCTTTACTATACTTATTATAGGTGTAACACGGGGAACCCCTTGGGGAGGACTGCATTCAGGTTGAAACAATATGAAATATAACATAAAGAGTAAAACCTGATAAATGACTTTATATTTTATTATAGGTCCACTGTCTAAATTGAGTCAATTCCAAACTTGTGGACTGGAGTTCGATCCTCTGTAAAAGCCTAGAGATTACCAGCACCCCAGTTGGATGGGACTCGCTAACCTTGGATTTTCTCATCTAAAAATTAGTAAGACTCTGCATTCATTCCCAAGATAGAGTCCCATAGGTGGCATGACAATAAAACAATGAAAATTTCTAGAATTTGTTCGATGCCACTGGTGCCAAGCTGTATCATCCAGACATGATGTTCTTTTTGGTTAACCTGATGCGTGGAGAGAGGTGATTTGCTGTCTAAGTAACCAGCTTATCCTCTTAAATAAAATAAAAATCCCAGGACATGTAATTTCATCCGGTGAAGTCTACATCATCGTCACACTGTAGCGGACAGATGCCAAAAATAAAATGTACTGCTTTTTTAAAATTAAACACAGGCTTACTAAATAATAACAATTTATTTTTCTATAAAGTTAGGCTAGGCTATGGCTAGGTCCTACCTATTTATATTATACTTCTCTGGTAGTAGTATGTTTAGTGTTCGTTGCTGCATCCATGTACTGGCATCTGTGCAAAGGGTCACTCTTCTTCAACTTGACTTCAACTCTTCATATTCATAAACTGAAATAGTGACTTAATTCAACTTTTTTTTCAACTGACCACTGTAATTTCTCTCTAAAATTGTTGCATTCACAACTTTAAAATAACTTAATCACTGTTGTTGTCAGTAAAGTAGACCGTAGACGTAAGTGCAATGAATTAGACAGTGTTGATAATTAAATTAAAATAATTAATAATAATACTAATAATAATAATACAAATACATAATTTTAATGATAGTGTGCAGTTGTACAGCCTACAAAAATAATTCAACTAATTTGACACTGTCAATGTCCTGTCCTATCCCTGTGCCTGTACTGTACCGTCTGACTGGAGTCATTCAAATTTGTATAATTTATGGTATTTTATATTTTTAAGTTTTGATTCTGAGTTGCCACAGCTTAACTGAGATTAACTTTTGTAATTTATGTGATTGTTTTTAATTGTATTATTATTATTATATATTTGTATTATAGGCATCATTATTGTAGGGCTAAGACTAAGAATCATGAAGAGTAAGATAAGTAAAGTACGAATATTAATATGAATAATCATGTCATGAATACGAGGGAGTCTCCAATTTTCTAAAATAATGATGGCAGATGTCAGATGATGGTTTCAGAAGAAATAATTACTTTATTTATTACTATTTTAATACGACTATGAGTTGAGTATGATTATTAATAAAAAATATTAATCAAATCTGAACCACAATCAAAACACAATAGTGATAGTCAATTGTAGATCTAACTTAAAATTAATAAAATAACACTATTATTATTTACTACCAGTATTGACTATTGAATTGACAAGTAGGCCTATTGAAAAGTTCAAGTTCAAGTATAGATAACCAAGCCCAACAAGCACCAAGCTCAAAACTAACAATACAAATATTCAATCACAGTCACAGTCTGGTCTGTCAGTTTACAGTTTACACAGTCTACATTTAATTTACTATCAATATTAATATTAAAGACTTAGACTTGGGGCATGCATACATTTTCTCACTCTCAATTCTATGGAAACGAAAACAAACCTAAAAGTAAAAGTGACCATTTCTTGGAATAAATCTAAAATTAGATTTTTTTTTTTTTCACGCCGTAGCCAGCATAGCAATAGGCCTAGTATCACTATCATAATAATATTCTCAAACTTTTTTTTTTTTGGATAATATTCTTTCTATTTATCTCCTTGGCCCCTTATTAAGTATGATTTTACATAAAACTGAGGGTTTATTTATATTATTAAGTTAAGATTTTTTTTTTTTTTAAAGATTGTTTTTTAGCCCCCCAAGTCCTAAGAATATATGTTATATATGGTCCCCTGGGGGCCATTCATTGTGGAAGGGTCCATGTTGAGAAAATTGTGTCAATTAGACATATAATTACTAAAAAATAATGGATCTCATCGATGGGCAAGGCGTGTTTCGAAATACATAATTAAATTAAACAGAAACTGGGACGATTTTATCATAATTAAGTTAATTATTTTCGTATCCGGAAATTTGATCGAAAGAAATTTCGTCAACGGTAAATTTATCGACGGTAATTTGATCGATCAGAAATTTGGTCGAATCGTTTTTTCTGTTCACGCGTTAAAATTTTGTTTCCAATTTCTTTTTGAACGCATTATTTTGTTTTACTATATAGTACAGTGCGTTCAAAAATAAATTTGTTGACGAAAATTTTAACGCGAGAACGGAAAAAAAGATCCGACTAAAATTTCGTTCGATCAAATATCAAATTTCCGTCGATCAATTTACTTTTACTTTTACCGTCGACGAAATTTCTTTCGATCAAATTTCTAGTAACCAATAATCCTATATATAGGCTATATTAAAACTAAAAATGATGCGTTAGATTTTGATAAAAATCAAGACATTCAAAAAATAATAGTAGTTAATTAGTCCAATAGTCATAGTAAAATAGTACTAGTAGTATTTCCAGCGGTTCTCAACCTGTGGGTCGGCACAACCCATTTCAAGGGGTCGTCTACGACCATCTGAAAACACATTTGCTCTACCGTAATGAAATAGTAACGAAAATAATTCTGTGGCTCCACAATATGAGGAACTGTATTAACGTTCAAGGGTCGTGGCGTTGAGAAGGTTGAGAACCACTGGTAAAGTCGATAGTATAATAATGGCAATAGCCTCAATAGCCTACAATTACAAAGTATTCAAATACGGCAAAGTTTGACTTAATTTTTTATTTAAAAAACACATGTCCCCCACTTCTTCCCCAGTCCACAGACATGTTAAAATATTATTTTGAATACAACAATGTTTTTTTTTTTTAAACTTTTGCGAAAACAGATCTACACGTGCAAATATAAATTATACTAATGATTCAAAATTCTTATAATTATAATATAAGAAAGTTCAGAAACAATTGAGACAAATCGATCCTATCTACTTATAATAATAGAAAACGATGAGAGACACACAAAAAAAAATATCAAGAAATAAATCAAAACAAAAAAAAGAAATAATTTAAGAATATTTTACATTGGGGCAGGGCTGTTATTATTAAAAAATAGAACACAGTAAGATAAAGTTTAGAAACCACCGTTTTAAAACTTCAAATAATGTTTATTAATGTTACAAAAATCAATTGAAAGATTACAAAGAGCAATATAAAATTATCAAAACTATTAAAAAAAAAAAAAAAAAAAAAAAAAAAAAAAAAAAAAAAAAAAAAAAAAAAAAAAAAAAAAAAAAAAAAAAAAAAAAAAAAAAAAAAAAAAACATATCAAATATGACTTACTTAATACTAATTATACATTTATAAAATAATTTCAATCAAATGTACCGGTACTGAATAGGTCAACCACAAATAAGAAATTGTAACAAAATATTTTTTAGGTGCTTTTTTGTAAACAATTTTCTACAAAGTAACTAAGTCTTAGAAACAGTAACTATTTAACACAAATATCTAAAAATAGTTCTGCTTCTATAACAGCTGTAAAAATTGAATGCAAATTGTATTCTTTTGAATAATTAAAGAATCATCATAACCAAAGTAACAGTTAATCTTCAAATTTCAAGTAGCGAGCTTGCATAAATAATACTGGGTATAGAAAGAACTCTTTTTAATATGGCGTTTAAATTCTTAAAGTTTAAGGCTTTTGAAGACTTATAGCATCATCAAAGGACATCTAAGCGTGTGATTCACAGAAAACGTTATTTTCATTTTAATGGATATTAATACCAAGATATTGTTGCTAAGAAGTATATCATTTTAAATCAAACTTTATAGTTAAAGTTTTATTTATTATTTACATTTTAATATTTACAGAATGAAGTTTTCAAACTTAAATGTTAAAGTTGATAGAGTTAACAGATCTCCAACACTATTGGGGAAGATATATAGTAGGCCTACAGGTATCCAAAAAAAAAAAAATGGACTCATTGGTTGATTGGTATTATTGAACTTGTCACTAAGAAACCTATTAAATTTAGTATTATAGGCTTATTCGACACTTTCAGGAAAAAATTGTTAATAATGAAGTTGGTATAGAATAAGTATGCTCTAAATGATTTTTTATTATTTTTTTTTTTTTTAAACATTTTATGAATCCTTAAAATCAATTAGACAAGTAACATTTTGCGAGAGGTGCTAGACACGGACCTCAAAATGAGAATAATACTGATAAGCAAAAAGTTCAAATTAAAACTGCAATTTACAGGCTTGGTTAGTAAGATTCATGTACCGGTAATAAATGTAAATATTTGTATGTTCATCGCTTTTTTTAAATTTTTTATTATAACTCTTTAAATTCCCCATCCATTTTCTTTTAAATCTTCTCTTTGTGGAAATAGATTAAACATGACCACAACTTAACTTCTAGCCACAGTAATCATTTTAATTTATATGTGTTTTTAAGTTATTTCACAAAAGCCACCTCTGCTGCTCACAAAGAGTGTTATTATGTTGTTGTTCGTCCGTCGAAGTCGACTAGGACCATCGAGTCATCCGGTTGGGGGAGGGTGGGTTACGGTGAGCTCGTAGGTGGCTTGCTAGACCGATCCGTGCTCGGAATAATCTCTGGCACCACAGGCATGGGATAGTTGCTGCAGACGGTGTCCTAATGTTGCTATTTCGGGCAGGCCTGCGTGTCTCAGCTGTGGTTATCCTATTAGCTTCATGGGATTTAGCCCCCTACTTGATAGCTGCCCTCCACCTGGCTCTGTCCTGGGCTGTCTGCACCCATTGAGTAGGGTTGATGCTGAAGGACTTTAGTGACACTTTCATTGAGTCTTTATAACGCTTTTTTTTTTACCTCATTGGGAGTGCTTGCCTGTCGTAAGTTCTCCGAAGAATATCTGTTTCGGGAGCCGGTGGTATTCCATACGGGCCACGTGTCCCATCCAACGGAGTTGAGACTGCATCAGGGTGGTGAAGATACTAGGTAGGTTCGCTCTAGCGAGGACCTCTGTGTCAGGACTTTGTCTTGCCACCTGATGCAGAGGAGCTTCCTCAGGCAGGTTGTGTGAAAATGATTCAGTTCTTTGGCGTGACGCTGGTAGACTGTCCACGTTTCACATCCGTAGAGCAATATCTAGAGGACTGCTGCGCTACAGACCTTGATCTTCGTTTCTCGTCTGATACCTCTCCTGTTCCAAACAATGTTGTGGAGCCTGCCAAATATTGCACTAGTTTTTGCGAGTCTGCCATTCATTTCATCATCCATGACGACAGATCTAGAGAGGATGCTGCCCAAGTAAGTAAATTTACCCACTGGGTTGAGACGCTTTCAACTGATGATGATGTTGGGTTCAACGTAGGGCTTACTGGGAGCTTGCTGGTACATCACCTCAGTATTCTTTGTGTTGATTGTGAGGACAAAGTTATTTCAGGCCTCAGAGAAGATACCAACGCTGTGTTGCATGACGGCTTCTGAGGCAGCGTCGAGGGCACAATCGTCCCGCAAACAGAAGCTCGTTGATGGTGTTATGTTTGACCTTGGTTTTAGCTTGAAGCCTTATAAGGTTAAATACTGATCCATCAGTTCAAGCCCGTGGTGGAGTCCTTGAACGCATCAGACAGCATTGCAGAACGCATCAGACAGCATTGCAGAATGCATAATACTGAAGAGTGTGGGAGCAAGAACACAGCCCTGCTTTACACCGTTTGTGACGGGGAATGCTTGAGATGAATGACCAT